ACCCCCCCTCCACCTCTGACTGCTACTCAGAGGCTGAAGAAGGAGGCAGAAGAGCAGCTCAAGCTGCAACAGGCCAGAGTAGCTGAATTGGCACGACAAGAGGCTGCTGAGCTAGAGGCTGCAACAGATTACTCCAGAAGGGAGTATCTGTTGCAGCAGCTAGAGAGGTCACTCACTGATGACCGTTGTGCCCAGATCACCAAGCATATGGCTGAGATGATCCTGCTGGAGCACAAGGTCATCAGCTCCCAGTTCACAAATTGGGATGACCGTTTTGAGCGGCTGGAGCGTCGGGTTGACGAGCTGTCAGCTCAGCAGTCCAAGATCGTGGATGCTATCCAGGGCTTGTCTGCTCAGCTGGCAGCCGCCAAGCTGATTACTCCTCAGCTCCCTCTGCTGCAACCCAAATCCTCTCCTCCTCCTTCACAACCTACTTCCCCTCCTCCATCCCATGCTGGATCTGCACATTCCTCCCGGTCATCTACCCCTTCCCAAAAGGCCTCAGTAAAGGCCACCTATGCTGCTGTGACTGCAGCAGACAGAGGTCCCAAGATGCCTGCTCCCAACAAGTTCAGGGGCGATGACCCCAAGACTGATGTTGGGGACTGGGCTGCTGGGACCAGAGCCTACTTGAGGGCCTTTGTCTGTGCAGAACAGACCAAGGTGGCAATTGTTTTGGGGCTGCTGGAAGGGCTTGCACTGAAGTGGGCCACCTCAACTTCCAGCAGTCTGCAGCAGACCATGGAGGACTGGGCCTTTGGATTGGGGGTAGACAGACTTCTGCAGGCCCTGGAGGACCGGTTTGCAGACAAGGAGCGGGCCCGCAAGGCGGCTGACAGGATTGCTCGTCTGGGACAACAACGATACAGCGGTACCCTACAGGCCTTGTTTGCAGAGTTCGAGCAGCTCACCTCCACCCCTGGGTTGGTCATGGCACCTGATGATCTGCTGACCAACTTCTGTAGGGCAGCTTCTGAGAAGTTTGCTGTTGCACTCTATAGCGCTAGGCACAAGGACTGGAGGTCCTTTGGCCGTGCAGCCCTAGAAATGGAGGCCAAGCTCCATGTCCAGGCCCCATCCTCTGACAGCAGGAAAGGTGCCTTCCTTAGAGGTAGCAGAAGGGGAAAGGCAACCTTTACTCACACGGGGTCTGCCTCAGGATCAGATTCCGATTCCCAGCCTGATGCACCTTCAGGTTGGACCGGATCTGCTGCTGAGACAGATGTTGCAACAGTAGTGACTCAGGCTGTTTTGGGAGCTCTGCAACCGTAGAGAAAGTTTTCCTCCACTAGAGCCTCAGCCACTACCAAGGGGAAGGATAAGGGACGTCGGCCTTCCTCTTCCCAGCGCCCTAATCTGCCTAGAGACGTCCATATGCCAGCTGAACCTCTCAATCCCTCCACTATCCCCTGGCATGACCTCAAGATCCAGGAGGGAGTCTGGAGAAGAAGAAAGGAGAGAGGGGTTTGCCTGAGGTGTGAGGGCCAGCATTTCCTGAAGGACTGCCCTTACATGCCAGGCCGAGGAAGTCGGTCAAAAAACTGAAACAGACCTTGGGGACTGCAGTTCCCCCCAATGTTGCACCTTCATCTATTCAGGTAGGTGAATCTGCAGCTGTTTCAGTTGAGACTGTTTGTGATGTTGATTGCCTGGGGACTGCACRGGCAGCATCCTTTTGCTATGAGGATCCTGACCCGGATCAGGATCCGGGGCAGAATGAGCTCCAGTCTATTGTTGCCTTCTTATCATGACTGATCTCATCATGCTCCGGCCACTGATCAACAGCACCAGGATCACTGGGCTGTTGGACTGTGGGGCCACTAGGAACTTCATATCACCCAGTGCAATTAAAAAGCTGCACCTGGGTATGAAAGTTCAGCAGCTGCAGCAGCCGCCGCTGGTGCGGATTGGTGACTCTACAGTACTCAGCATCAGGGAGAAGGTCAAGGGTATCCCTGTGACCTTCGATACTGYAGGAAAAGTCAGACACAGTCTGAACTTTTATGTGTTCCTTGAGCTGCCCTTTGAGTTGGTGTTCTCCATGCAGTGGTTGAGGGCAGTCAACCCTAGGATCGACTGGCAGATCCCTAGAGTTGAACTACCAAACATCCAGGGTGTGTATCAGCAATGCATGATTGCTGCTGATCACCACCCTAAGACCTCCTGCTACTGCCTGAGAGCGAGGGAGTTTCATGCTCTCTCACGCCAGTACCACCATGAGCGTMTGTTCATTGCTCTGGTCAAGCAAACAGATGCTCCCCCTGTTTCCTGTCCTCCTGAGATACAGCAGGTGGTGGATTAGTATGCTGATCTGATGCAGGAGCCCTTTGGGTTACCCAACCGGCCAACCAAGCATCAAATCGAGCTGCTGCTTGGAGCGGTTCCTCCYAAGGGCCGCATCTACAGGATGTCCCCTGCGGAGCTTGAGGAGCTCAGAAAGCAGCTTGAGACCCTGACCAGCAAAGGCTGGATTAGACCCAACACATCTGAATTCGGTGCACCTGTTCTCTTTGTCCCCAAAGGGAACARCGAGTTCAGAATGTGCATTGACTACAGGGGTCTCAACAAAATCACTARGAAGAGTACTGAGCCACTTCCTAGGATTGATGACCTCCTGGACATGGTGTAGGGCTGCACAGTGTTCAGCAAAGTCGACCTCAAGTTTGGCTACCACCAGATTGAGATGGCGGMGGAGGATGTCTACAAGACARCCTTCAAGACTAGGTATRGGACTTATGAGTTCCTGGTTATGCCATTTGGACTTCGCAATGCCCCAGGCACTTTCYAGACAGAGATRCACCGCATCTTCMGGCCTTACCTGGACAAGTTTATGGTTGTCTACYTGGATGACATCYTGGTATTCAGCAAAACTGCCAGGGAACATGCGGAGCACTTGGCTCTAGTTCTTCAGTCGTTACGTGACAGCCAGTACAAGATCAACAGAGAGAAGTCCTYTTTTGGAGTTCCCTTTGTCATCTATCTGGGTCATGTAATCTCTGGAGATGSTSTRGCTCCTGAAGMRGCCAAGATTGCTGCCATTTAGGGGTGGCCTCAGCCTCAGACAGTGAGGGATGTCCGGTCCTTCATGGGTTTGGCCTTCTACTACAGAAAGTTTGTCAGGAATTTTTCTGCAGTGGCTGCACCCCTGACTAACCTCACAAAGAAGGACACTCCCTTTCTTTGGTCCCTTCACTGTCAGTTCGCCTTCACGSGACTCAAGAAGGCCTTGACTCGTGCGCCTGTCCTGAAGTTACCTGACCCCACTTTGCCATTTATCYTGACCACTGACACCAGTCAGTATGGCATTGGGGCAGTTCTTCAGCAGGATGATGGGAATGGTCTTCGGCCTGATGAGTTCATGAGTAAGAAGATCAAGACTCAAAAGCTCCAGGACTCTACCTGCGAGAAAGAGCTATATGCTCTTGTCTGTGCCCTGAAACATTGGAAACACTTTCTCCTGGGCAGRCACTTCAAGATCTTTTCAGATCATTCCACCTTGCAGTGGATGAAGTCCCAGGGAGAGTTAAATGATAAGTTGGCACGATACATTCAGTTCATTGACATGTTTGACTTTGAACTGAAAYACAAGAAGSGCTGCTAYAACAAGGTAGCGGATGCCCTCTCTCGTAGGGCCGACTCTTTTGCGCTGATCTCCTCTACTCACTCCTTTGGAGAGGAGACCCGTCAGACCATTGCTCGTCTACTGCCTCAGGAYGAGACTTTCRGACCCATTGTCAGGAATCTGCAAGCAGATCCTAACTTTGAACCAGGCTATGCGCTGAGWTCAKACYTGCTGTACACGTACAGWAGGGGTGAGGAGCGCTTGTGCATTCCTCAGGACCAGCGGCTCAGGWCASTGCTGATGTCWGAGTGTCATGATGCCCGTGGACATTTTGGGTTTCTAAAGTCTTATACAGCCCTGTCGCAGCGCTTCTTCTGGAAGGAGATGCGGGGTGAGATGCTGCGTTATGTGAACACATGYGAGCTCTGCCAAAGGAACAAGGTTCAACGTAAACCTCCTTTGGGACTGCTCAAACCCTTACCCATACCTGATGGCCCTGCCCAATCTGTGTCAATAAACTTCACAGATTTAGGCAAGACCACCCCTCGTGGCATGCGTCAGGTTATGGTCTGCGTGGATCGGTTCTCCAAATACGCAGAGTTCGTCCCCTTGCCAGAGGTAGCGAGGTTACCGACTGTAAGAGCAACCTTTTCTGAGAGGTGGGTCACTCACCATGGACCGCCCACTTCTATAATCAGTGATCGAGACCCCAGATTTTGCAGCGATGAGTGGCAGTCCTACTGTAAGGACTACCTGCACTCACGACTGGACATGACCTCTGGTCACCATCCTGAAGCCAATGGTTTGGCTGAAGTGATGAACCAAGTCCTATTCCAGCTGTTGCGTCCTGTCATCTCTCCGGATCAGCAKGACTGGGATCTTCACTTGGCTAGGGCACAACTCATGTATAACATGTCTGTCCACTCCTCGACTGGGTTCAGTCCCTATTGATTGCACTGGGGACGAGAGCCACGTCAGCCTCTCGATGATATCATCGACAAGGCTAAGCCTGATCTGACACCAGACACAACAGAGTTCACCAGACGATATCGTCTSGATGTGGAAAGAGCGCGGGCAMACTTGTTCAAAGCCCAAAGGGCTATGATTGAACAAGCTAACCGCCATAGGCGACCTTCCCCCATCYGCACTGGTGACTATGTCTGGGTGGCCAGTTCAGAGCTGTCGAGAGAGGAGGATATCTCTCCCAAGKTGTTGCCACGTTACCTGGGTCCATGACAGGTCCTAGATACAGTGGGCGCTGATCCCTTCGGTCCGWCGTATGTCATCGACGTCCTGCTGCATCTACGTACCTACCCGGTCTWTCACGCATCTAAGCTGCTGCCTTTTACGCCAACTGATRCCTTCCCAGACCCGCCCCCTCWGTTCGATACACCGATCCCTGGTAAGGGGTATGAYGTGGAATGGAWTGAGGATGAGTGGGGCACAGGCCCCGACCGGCAGTATCTTGTCARGTTCGCTTTYCAGCCGCCTTCTGAGAACYGGTGGTTCTACAGAAGAGACCTGCTCAAGACAACAAAGTYTGTTGTATTGCGATATGAAGCGGATCAGAAGGGCAACCTTCCTCGCCGTTCACCTCGCCTACACCCCTAGCTCGGAGGTCCTCGCTCCCGGGGAGGGTAAGCCTGCAATGAATTGCTGATTTCTATTGCCGAGATTGACTGCGAGGCTGTACACTAACCTGTAGGGTTAGATTCGTAATTTTGTTTGGCTGAGGGCTAACYGAGAGACCTGCCKGTAAAGAAATTCGTGAGGGACAGATCTGCAAATCCGGGAGAATACAGGCCCGATACTAACCCGAATTCCTAYAGCTACCCATTGCCTATAGCAGGCYMGGGCTACCCCTAGGACAGACAGGCCCTARGTGGCCTATKYTGTTAGACGGTCCTATAGCCTATAGCCGGGTCCGGTAGAGGCCGAGAGGCCGAAACAGCAACGGTACYGGTCGGTCAGTCAGTCCGGTCTAGGTCTAGAGAGTCTATAGATMAGTTAGGCCCATCGGTTCAGGACTTTTGGCAGTTCATTTCTCGCGAGCAGCGTTGGAGAAGCCAAGCAAGTYGGTGTCGGTGCTGGTCTGCAGGCGGCATCCTGAGACGCACCGTAACAGCAGCCATAGCCGAMCTCATCTGAGTCTGCCATAGCTGGGGCATCCTCAACGCATCTACCCCTGGGGTATCTGCGTATGGYCGGGCTGTATTSAGGCTCTACAGTGGTGGTTCGTGGGTGGTGGCAGCCATAGCTGCCTGTTCCTTCGTCAGAGTTCTCCATCGGCACTGAAGACTTCATCACAGGACCTGTTCTTCATCAGGGTGGTTGGCGCTGGCCTCTGGGAGGCTGTTCTGATGCAACGCTACTAACTGGGTGTAGGATAGAGAGTGGGGTGTGAGTTCTGAGTGTGGCGAGATACTGGAACAAACTCTGTTACGATAATTGTGTGAGTGGCTCATCATCAGTGTCATTTTCAATTGTGATCTTCGTAGGTTTCTCTCTTGCGATTGGTTGTTGGGAGCTGTGTCAGAGAGTGAGAAACACTGCGTGTCTTCTCCCCAGCTGTGCATGTTTGTCTTCTGCTGCTTATCTTCACCTGTGTGCAGTTTGGACTCTGTCTCCTCTCTCCCCTTCTCTTATGCATGTATGGGCATGTGTGAGATTGTCTGTGTGTGAGTGGCGATAAAATTCGTCAGGCAACCAAGTTCATAGCAAAGGCAAGCGCAGATAATGCAAACCTCTGAGCTAGATGAAGGACACTTGGCTGTTTAAACCATGAGTACCTTTCTGGGCTTGAGAAACAAAAGACCGGCGGTTAACACAGATGTACAGGCTCGCTGCCAAATGGCTGGCGACCGCGGGCAGGTACGTGCGTGTGGAAACGGATTTTTGCAGCACGCAGGGCAATTTTCGGCACGGGGCCGATGTATGGGAAAGGTACTGGTGGCTGAAGGGCATACTCACAATAGCAGTTTGCTAAACGGATCTGACTTCAATTTGGCAAACCCGGATGAATCTGACCACAATTACGCCTAGAGCTCAGTAGAGAAAGTCCCCCTACTCTGAGTATGCCCTTAAGTGAAACCATAGATTTCAGTTTTCCCAGTGATTATGAGAGATTTTACAGGCGTACAGCATTGACAATCAATGCCGCTGTCGCAGAGACCTGTGCAATCAGTGGAGCGGTCCCAGGGTCCTGCGGGGGAAGGGTGGGTCATGTGGGTTGTTGTTGCAACGGACAGGATGCTGGACCATCTTTCCAGAGTTAATAATAAGGGCGAGGTCTCAGTAGCAGAGAGGATTGGAGTGAACGTGGGAATGTGGACGAGTTTGTGGAGAGGTGCAGAAAATCTGGATTGAACTGCTTTTCTGCATCTCTGCATAAAACACATCCACATTCACGTGCTTAATCCAATCCTCTCTGCTAGTGGGACCTCACCCTAAAAGGAGGGTGGAAAGATACATGCCTCTTTTTTTTGACATGTGGTGAATCTTTGGAGCCAGGCCTATAGTAGGGCCCACTACTTGAAGCCAGGCATATAGGAGGGCCCACTATTTGAAGCCTGGCCTATAGTAGGGCSCACTATTTGAAGCCAGCCCTATGGTAGGGCCCACCATTTGAAGCCAGGCCTATAGTAGGGCCCACTATAGTAGGCCTATAGTAGGCTGTCGTGTGGTGAGGTTGTGGAGGGTATAGATGGAACATAGCGATGAGCGAGGCCAACATCCATGGATAGAAAGATAGGTAAACTGCTTCTTCACAAACAAAGGTAGAGACAAACCCATCAGTAAAGAATGAGTAGAGATGCTCACGGCTATGTCCACTATAGATGGAGTGGTGCTTATGTCTAGGTAGTCTACGTCGGTGTAGGCCGCATCCGGTTGTCGTAGGGCCATAGAAAGACAGGTTA